TTCAAAATACTCTGCAAAATCCTTTGTTGGAATCGCCATCAGCTGCCTTGTTGTATTTATGTGAATCTCATTGATGGTCTGAAATTTCTTCTCTATCAAAGGTGATTTTAGTTTTGGGAAAAGCCAGAAGCCACAGGGCACCAAATCTTTAGCTATAGGGAAGCCTTGTGACCTGGGTGATATTATTTGCGTTGCACTCATTGCATCGTCCCCAAAAGTCTTCTGAATCATCCTAATTGTTTCCGCGGAGGAATGTGCAAGCTTAACATAACATTTGATGCAGATTTGTTGCTTTACTTGCTCAGTCATTGTGAATGTGACGGCCACACAGTACACATGCTCACTAAACAGCTGCCCCCACTAACTAGTACAGTAAAGTCGTCATGGTTCACGCACGTGCATTCCAGTCCATTCTCCTTGGCTGCCAGGTTACATCAATGTTGCGCAAACCAATCTTGTTATATATAACAATGGTGGATACTTTACGGACAGACCTCTTTTATATACAGTTGTGACACTGGGTTCCTCTTGACAATGTTTAAACATGCGCTGCATGAACACCTAGCAGCACAAACAAACTAGCTAACAGCAACAGACTCCAACCCTGACTGTCTAAAACAAGGCAGAACAATGCTGGTCATGAAGCACTCATAAGGGAACAACACCATCCAACTACTGACTAATCAGCTGCCTCCCCACAACATGGAATGTTCTGTCAGGCATCATAGCCTCTAAAACTGATGGGCACATGAGTCAGTGGATGAGCAATGCTCAGAAGGGGATTGGAAACAACAGCAGAGGATCAAAAAAACAACTACTGGTAGACCAATCAGTCACAAGGGATTCTAAGACCAGACAGACCAATTTGTGCACGGCCTGGATTGACTACAGGAAAGCCTATGACACAATGCCACACACATGGATACTGGAATGCTTGGCCCTATACAAGGTAAACAAGACAATAAGAGCCTTCATCAAGAACTCAATGGGCAAGTGAAAAACAACTCTAGAAACTAATTCCAGGACAATAAAACAAGTGAACATTAAATGTGACATATACCAAGCTTATGTGCTATCCCTAATGCTGTTCTGCATAGACCTCAACCCCCTCAGCCACATCATCAAGAAGAATGGATATGGATACAGGTTCAAGAGTGTAGATACTATCAGCCACCTACTCTACATGGACAACATCAAGCTGTATGCCAACAATGAGCGTGACATTGACTCATGATCCACTTAACCAGGGTATACAGCAAGGACATCGGAATGTCATTCAGACTAGAGAAGTGTGTGCGGATGATAGCAAAAAGAGGGAAGGTAATCAAAACAGAAGGAATTCAAGTACCAGAAGGCCACATAGAAGATGTAGAGAGCTACAAGTACCTCGGGGTAGCACAAACAACTGGCAACCATGAAGAAAAGGCAAGGAGTATAGAAACATCAAGTACTTTCAGAGAGTCAGACAGGTCCTGAAGTCCTAGCTCAATGGCAAGAACAAGATCCAAGCCATCAACACATATGCTCTACCAGTCATCAGGTACCCAGCTGGAATAATAACTTGGCCAAGAGAAGAACTGGTCACCATGGATGTCAAGACCCATAAATTACTCACTATGAATGGAGGATTCCAACTGAAATCCAGCACCCAGAAACTGTACACCAGACAGAAGGAAAAATCAAGGCCTCAGTCCTGGATGAAACACAGAGCATCCACAAGTACATCACGAAGGTGGCTCCCAAAGATAAACTGCTAAGGGAATGCGGAGGATAGAGGTTTGTCCAAGGAAAGACAAACCTTTCCATGGGGTGTTTCACCAGCAGATAGTGGATTTGTCTCACATTGCAAAATCCTACCAGTGGTTGGAATAGGCAGGACTGAAAGACAGCACTAATCCTAGCAGCACATGAATAGGCTACCACACCAGGCAAGCAAGGTGCAGACTGTGCAAAGATGCCTCTGAGACAATCCAGCACTTAGTAGCCAGATGCAAGATCTTAACAGGAACAGCATACACTGATAGACAGAACCAAATTGCTGGGATTGTGTACTGAAACATCTGCATAAATTATGGGCTGGACCTACCTAAATCCAGATGGGAGATACCACAAAGGTTAGTTGAGAATAACAAAATCCTGTGGGACTTCCAGACAGACATGCAAGTGCTGGCCAGTGGCCAACCAATCAACCTGACATTGTGGTGGTAGACATGGAATGGAAGACTGCAGTGGTAGTGAATGTGGCAATACCCAGTGACTATAACATCAGCAAGAAGGAACATGAGAAGATGGACAAACACCAAGGACTGAAAGAGGAGCTCGAAAGGATTTGGAAAGTGAAGGCAGTAGCAGTCCCAGTTGTGATAGGAGCACTCAGGGCTGTGATTCCCAAGTTAGATGAGTGGCTTTGATAGATTCCAGATGAAACATCTGAGATCATTGTCCAGAAGAGTGCAATTCTAGGAACAGCTAAGATACTGCGCAGAACCCTCAAACTCCTAGGCTTCTGGTACAGGACCCAAGAATAAGGAAGAAAATATACTATCACCCAGGAGGGATAAGAAAATCGATTTGTATGTATGTATGTGTGTATGTGTGTGTATATATATATATATATATATATATCTCAAGATAAACCTATTATATTACAAGGCACATTATAGTTTATAATTCTGCAGTGTCTGAACAGGGAATAATGTACAAGACCTTCTGCCTTCTAACCCCCACATTTAAACTAAGCTTAACCCTAACAATGACATCAGCTCTAAAGTTAACGCTAATCTTACCCAAATCCCATTCAGAACTCTTATACTAATCCTAAACTTAACCCTAGCGTTAACCTGGAGACATGTATAACCTCAGCCTATTGTCTTGTGGTTTATTATGATGTCTCCAGAACTCTTGATACTTTAAGACAATACACGTCTTAGCTGTGAGGAATGAACTGTATAGTCACTACTGCTTCCCTATAAGTGAGAAATTAACATAAAAGGGGACTAACAAATATAGGAGAAAATATTTTTCTATCTCCAGCTGATTTGTTTAGTATGCAAAAAAAGGGTATGAAATCATAATGAAAGATGAGTGAAACTCAAGTTAATGTGTGCCAGTAAGCAGGGGCATATATGGCTGCAAAGGCTGCCATGCAAACCAGCCAACCAGTCCTGACAGAGCTAGTAAATGCCCTACTGTGGCATTGGCATATGTAATAGTGTGCTTGCTCTGCATTTTATGGGGGGGATATAACAAACAAAATCAGGACAGGGCTCCCAAATAGTGACTGCTTGCCAAGTCTGGGAGTGTTGGGAGGTATGAATTATTTCAAGACTGTCTTTATTTGTCATTCAAGTAAATGTTGTGCTTTGAAATGTCATTTAGATCCATTTTGTTTTATGACAAAGTGGTCGGATACCTTTCTTGCTTCTCGACAGAAGACATTTGTAGAAAATTTAGTATAACCCGAAGAATAAGATAAATCGATGAAAAACATATGAAAAAAAAAATGATTAAACAAAGTACGGATTTGTTCTCCCTTACATAAATTGAGCTCCTCGGCCACAGTTTATTTCCCTGTTTAAGGAACCCTTTTATAATAATTAGAAAAGAATGTTAATCACCACACCCTTTAGGCATCGATGCTGTGACTGCCATGAATAGTCTCATTGTTTATACAGTGGATGCCAGCTCTACATTCAGCAAGGAAGCCTGTTTCTCATGTCACGTTGCCTCAGGTTCCACAGAGCCACATGACTGCAATGTACCGTCTGTAACACGAGCTCGCCCAGCGTGCCATACACTAGAGGAGACCATGAATACTGCAACAGTCCTGGAAAATAATCATTTCTTCTGTGCTCGTTGCAATTTGAGGTCAATGCACTTAGCTTACCATCAGGCTTTCTAATTTTCCACTGAACACTGAATTTTCAGATAATAAAATGTCAAAGCAGGAAATCCAAGTTGATAGTATTATAAAATAAAACTTTTTTAAGGAACGCTTAAATGTTTGGAATACAAAGCTGTATTCCAAACACTAAAGTGTTCCTCTGCCCCCTCCCCCCTGTGTCCCACACCGGCCAACAAATAAAGGATTAAAACTCTTTATGCACTCACTTATTCCAGTGCAGAGGACCCTCGGTGCTGGATCCGTCTCCGCTTCCTCCGATGCCAGCAACATGGGGGAAACCAAATGTGCATGAGTGGCGAGAGCTGATTGATTCAATGCTTCCCAATGGGGGATTTGAACATGCTGGATGTCCTCAAATGTGAAAAAGCAGGAAGCGCCTCTAATGAGTGTATGGTGGACAGCCACCAGAGGAACATTGCAATGTTTTAGATTACAGGGTTAACGGGACGGGGACACTGCACCCAGACCATTTTAATAAGATGACGTGGTCTGGGTGCTTACAGTGACCCTTCAAATATATATTTGTTTTGCTGGTAATTTTGGAATACCACCTGCATGCTAGCAGGGCCGCCATCAGGGCATGACAACCGTGACAATTGTCACGGGCCCGGCGGCCCTGGGGGGCCCGGCCGCCCGGGCCCCACGTGGATCAGCGGAACTGCCGCCGGTGCATCTGCACCGGGGCCCACGCGCTGATGGGGCCCATCAGGTGGCCCCAATCATTTAGGGCCACCCAATGGGCCCTATTATCTTCAGGGGCCCGTTTAGCGCTGTAATAGCGCGACCGGGCCCCTTTAAAAAAAAAAAAAAATGCAGCCGGAAGCAAGTGCTGCTGGGAGGAAGTGACGTCCGGTCACTTCCTCCCACTTTACTCCGCGCGGGAAGGAGGACGCAGCATGAGGAGAGGCAGCCGATGCCCATCATCCCCAGCCACCCTCCTGCGACGAAATGGTAAGGAAGAGAGGAGGGTGGCTGGGGATGAAGTGTATGTGTGTGTGTATGCTGGTGTATGAATGCCAGTGTATATGCCAGTGTATGTGTGTGTATGCCAGTGTGTATGCCAGTGTATGTGTGTGTGTATGCCAGTGTATGTGTGTGAATGCCAGTGTGTGTATGCCAGTGTATGTGTGTGCCAGTGTGTGTATGCCAGTGTATGTGTGTATGAATGCCAGTGTATGTGTGTGTGTATGCTGGTGTATGAATGCCAGTGTATGTGTGTGTATGCCAGTGTCTGAATGCCAGTGTATGTGTGTGCCAGTGTGTATGCCGGTGTATGAATGCCAGTGTGTATGCCAGTGTGTGTATGCCAGTGTATGTGTGTATGAAAGCCAGTGTATGTGTGTATGTATGCCAGTGTGTGGATGCCAGTGTATGTGTGTATGTATGTATGCCAGTGTATGAATGCCAGTGTATGTGTGTATGTATGCCAGTGTGTGTATGCCAGTGCGTGTGTGTATGCCAGTGCATGTGTGTATGTATGCCCATGTATGCCAGTGCATGTATACCAGTGTATGTGTGTGTGTGTGTGTATGCGTGTGTGTATGTATGCCAGTGCGTGTCTGTATGCATGTGTGTGTGTCTGTATGTATGTATGCCTGTCGGTATGTATGTATATATCAATATGCAGTATGTATATGTATGTTTGTCAGTATGTATGTCTGCTTGTATATGTGTGTGTGTGTCAGTATCTCCCTATGCATGTGTGTATGTCTGTTTCAGTATTTGTATCTGTTAGTGTGTGTGTATTCCTGTGGGCGGGATTTGGAGGCAGGCTTGAAGGGGGGCCCAGACCTTGAGCTGTGTTAGGGGCCCCAAAATTTCTGATGGCGGCCCTGTGATCAGATCACATTTTATGACCAATTTGTGCAGAAATCCATATCATTCCAAAGGGTTCACATACTTTTTCTTGCAACTGTATATATATATAAATATATATATATAATATTTTACCAGATGCTTTTACCACTTATTTTTTATAGTTACAGGCGCGTCGGGGCTCCTATTTGTAGCCGTACTTTGCAGTTTTATCAGTCTTTGTTTAATTTATCAGATTGGTGGCATTAGCAAATCTGTTACTACAAACTTAGTTC